CTCCCTCCCTCCCTTCCTCCCTTCCTTCCTCAATAGGTATGTGATGCAATTTGACTTTACTGCAAAAAAGTTCAAAGGCAACTGGCAACGGGGGAGCCACAGGCAGAAACACAAAACGACACAGAAACCCAGGTCCATTCTTTTCCTGTGTGCAGGGAGCCTGGTTGTGCAAACCACGTCTCTGCTGCTGTTCTGGCTCTTAACCACACTCTTTGCACTTGGCCAAGCGCTACAGAACAGAAGGCTTCAGGCGTTTACCTGGTTGCTTTGGAAGACTCCAGCAATAACTTTTTCCCCTTTTTCTCTTTTTTTTTTCTTTTTTCTTTTTAAACCCATGAGTGTTATTGCCAGGTGATACAAAGCCTCGTGGTGCCCGTGCTCCATCTCCCCGTCCGCACGGAGCCAAGGGCGACGCTCCAAACCGCGGCGTGAAACCGAGGAGGGAACTGGGTTCCCCACGGCCCAGGGCTCCGCCTGGGGCATCTTCACCCCACATTGCACGTGGGGCTCCGGGACTCCCCAGCCTGCACAGAGAAGTGGCATCGTCTGCTTCTCCACYGCCGCCTACCACGGGGCTGAGCATCCCATGCCCAAGGGCATCTGCTCCTTGATTTGGGTTTGCAGTGGTCCCCACGCCATGTCCTGGTGGGGACCGGGCTGGATACCCAAGCAGGAATTGCCTGGATTGCCTGGATGGCTCTTGCACGGAGAGGCTCCCTCTCTTGAGCAGACTTTCATCTCCTCTCTGCACTGTTCGTCTTTCGTTTGGTGACATTTACAAGTGCATTACTGCTTGCAAAACTGATATCTTTTTTCCCCGCTGTTTTGCTGTTTCCTGTAGGCAAGGCTTAGTCCTGATTCTGTATTATTCTCCTTGCATGCTGCAGATGTGGCTCCTAGCTCATGACGCCACACTCACCCACCGCTTCTTGATTTGTCACCTTGGTCCTTGTCCTCAAYGGCAGCATTTCACTTTTCAGGTTAATTCCTCCATACCCACATTCCCGAGAGCAGAACTAGTTCCCTTGGGCGGTTGGCTTTTTTCCTGGTTTCCCATGTGAGCAGCTTGATGTGGGGCTGATGGGCCGAGATTGGTGAGGTGGCCATGTGTCAATGCCATCTACTTGTGCTATGTGCAAATGAAACGGTTTCTGCACAGATTTGAAGCGGATTGGTGGGATGGAAACTACCGGCAGCCACAGGGTGACATGTATTTCACRCACTGTGCCAGAGGGATCAGGGAAAACACTGCTCGGATGTGCACTGCKAGCAAAGATCAGGAGCTGCAGGTGATCTACTGAAACCTGGTGTTGGTGGGGAGGGCTGGAGAGAAGGAGGGAGGAGAACAGTGAGGCAAAAAGAGCGTAAATGATAGCAGGAAACTCGCTGCTCGGGGACTGTACGGGGCTGCAGTCACGGAGGGTTAGAGGGAAGGGCTGCTGATGATTGAGGAAGGGGAGCAATGCTGAAATATCATAATTATTGCAGTTTTGGGGTGGGCTGATGTCACTCTGTGCTTATGGCAGAAACTCTGAGTGCCAYGGCAAGGAATGCTAAGGAACCTGCAACATTAGTGGGCAAGAAGGAGAGAGGAATTTAAGGTGGGGAGCAGCATGTAGGTGGTTGGTGCTGGAGGGGACGAGGCCCCACAGAGCCACCGGTGCAGGAGGAGGGTCTTGGGGAGCGGGGAGGCCGCTCACCCCCGGTGCTGAACCAAGGCTCAGACCCTCGCTTGGAAGTGCAAAGCAGGAGCTGCTCCCACAGAGAGCTCTGTTTGCCGACAAGCCTTGTGGCCACGGGCGCGGTGTTGTCCTTTCCCACCCCAAGAGCAGGCGGACAAAGGAGCGATGGTGTTAGGGAGCGGGCTGGTGGTGTTTTCTTACCAACAGCAGCACTGAGAGGACGGGACGAGATGCCTGCAGTGCCAGGATATCTGCTAACCCGCAGGGACCATCGGCAGCAGCAGGGAAGGAGCCCGAGCCTCTATCAGCACTGAGATGCAAACACAGCAAGGGCAGAACCAGATGCACAATGCGGAGGCTAAAAACCCTGGCAAAACAACACAGAATARCACAGTCCACAGAGGCCATTAGGAGGAACAGGGAGGCCCAGGTGGGTTTTCCTGCTTTAGAAAAGCAAATGCCTTTGTACACGGATCCATGGATGTACATGGATCAATTTTATCTTTAAAAAGAAATTAAAAAAAAAAAAATGGGAGGAGTGGTGGGATAAGCAGGTCTGTTTCATACACAGCCAAGCAGCTGCTTGGGCAAATTAAGCCGTAATGGAGAAAAATTGTAYTGTAGCCAGGGGATGAACATGAGAGAGCAGAGAGGAGCATTGAACAACGTTTAAATCCATACCACTGATTTTGAAGCATTTTGGCCAAAGAAGTGCATACCAACTCCTCAAAATCCCAAGAGCAGATTTGTTCCCACAGCATAAAGCACAGCACAGAACAGGAGAACAAAAACAGAAATCCTAACTTGGATGAGACCACGGGTCTCCAAATTTCTGTCTACAAAGAAATACGGACAGCTCTCAGTCTGAAATAGGAGGGTTTGCTTTCACAAACCCTCTCATGAAGGAAGAGCTTCCTTTTCCCTGGGAGGCAGTGTAGACGAGTGGGCCATGACAGTAATTTCTGCCAAAGTGTCAATGTGCAGCTGGGGGCAGCGGAGCGGGGCCTGGCACGTATGGATAGCGTGCATGGAGCCGTGTATAGTGCGTGTGGATGCATCTGTACGAGCTGCATCTGCAGCTGTGGTGAGTTGTGCTGTTTGCCCTGCGCCCCCAGCATGGCTGTGAGGATGGCTTTGCTGATGGGCGTGAAGAGCAGAGGTTTCCACACGCTGCAAAAGGGCAGCTGGGAACACTTGTCCTGGGATGCAGGTAGTTTTCATCTCCCGTCTCCAACTGTCTGTGCACCCCGGCAYGGAGAGCAGCTTCCGAAGTGGAAAATGAGTGTGTCTGAGCAAAGCCAGGGCTGTTTTAAGGAGAACGGGGGCACTGCAGAAGGCAGCAGAAACCTCGGTGCGTTTCTGAGCTAAGGGGCTTCGGGCACGGACACTATCCTGGGAGGAAGGAGGTCTGAGGCAGCTCTATGTGTTCATACAGACACGTAACGTCCCCTTGGTCACATCCTGGGCATCCCCTTGGTGCACATCCTGGGAGGAGGCGATGGGAGCAGCATGAGGCAAACAACGAGAGCTTTAACAAACCTCTCTAAGGAGCGTTTACAACCAAGGCCTGAGATAAGGGGGGCCCAGCATCTGCGGAGCCTCCAGGAGTGCTCCCAAGAGGCCTCCAGGAGCGTGGGCCTTGGGAAGCACCATGCGCTTCCACACGGGAAGAGCTGTGAGGCCCTGGCACAGGCTGCCCAGGGAAGCGGTGGGGTTGCCCACCCTTCCTGGCAGTGCTCAAGACACRTGCAGATGTCTTGAGCCATGTCTTGAGGGACATGGTCTAGTTGGACTCGGTCTTGAAGGTCATTTCCACCACAACGATTCTGTGACTMCACGTGACCTGCTCTGGGTCTTCCTTCTTCCACATGTCCCGTACGCACTCCGAGGGGGCTAAATGGGATGGGACTTCTGTTGCAGGAGGCTGGGGAGCGGCACGGGAAAACCAGACTCCACTTAATCCTTTGGGAACAGATTATTTGTGGGAGGCTGGTGCCTGATGGCAGGTGTTGTGTCTGTGACTGCTGCTGAGATGGGCATGTAACTTTAGGGGAATCTGTGCAGGAAAAGTGCAACAACARTAGCATATAAACATCAGGAATTTTTACCCCCACTGAGGTGAGGGGTGGTCTCATCTGGTCCCAAAGCCCCAGTGCGTCTGCTCACCTTCCCCTTTGCTTTGCAGCACTGGGAGCATGACGAGGAAGATCTTCACCAACACGAGGGAGCGATGGAGGCAGCAAAACGTCAACAGCGCCTTCGCCAAGCTGCGGAAACTCATTCCCACCCACCCTCCGGACAAAAAGCTGAGCAAGAACGAGACGCTGCGCTTGGCCATGAGATACATCAACTTCCTGGTGCAGGTGCTGGGCGGGCCGGGGCTGCCGCCGGCCGGGGCCGCGCGGGGCGGCATCCTGGGCTTCCTGCAGCAGCCAAGCTTGGGCCAGCCGGCGCGGGCCGAGAGCCGCCCCGGCACCGCCGGCACCACCGGCACCAGCGGCACCGGCACCAGCGGCGCCCCGCGACGGCCGGAGGCAGCGGCTCCGTAGCGGGCGGCGCGGCCTCCTCGTCCGACGGGCGCTCTCCTCCTGCAGAAGCTGCGGGTCGCTCCTATGTCTACAACAACTGCCCTGTTTATTTCTATTTCTGCTTTTTATTATCTATTTATTTCTGTTTCTGGTTTTGCCATCTATTTACCTCTATTGCTGTTAAATCAAAAATGCTGATGTTAAATGTAAGAAGACACAGTCACAGGYGACTTTTGGTGGGTTCAGAAGGAAGGGGCGCACCAGAAAATCTTGCCCTTAGCAGTGAGAGCCAGCGCATGAAGGAACTTGGTCTTCTCCTACCTTCAAAGCCTTTAGAGCTGGTCTCCAGATACCTTCAAAGCGTAACAAATCGTCTGTGGGCCAAGCTTCTTTATTCTTGAATATGTGTAGTAATGTTATAAAAAGAGCACCTAGAGCAGCAGAAAGGGAGCCATGGGGATTAAGCAGGACTCGTTCCTGGTCAGAAGCTGCTCACACTGACATAGGGCCTCTCTTATCTGCATAGCTGCCTTTCCAAACACCTCAGCCACGAGGACACTTTTTCCTCTCAAATCCCAGGCGCCTTCCAAGGTTGCACCAAAGGAACCCAGGGTGGTTCCTGTCAAGGACATGGTCCTGTGCTTTGGCGAGGACTGAGGTCGGACAGGGATACATCTCACTTAGCCTAGAGTGCTCCTGTAGGTGCCCTACGGAGAGATTTTAACTGAGAGTTTAAAAAAAGAAGAGCTGAAAAGGTTAGTGACTGCTTCATTTGGTTTCTGAGTAGCGTTAATTTTCAATGTTCTTGCTCTGCTGCCAGAGCAGGGGAGCATACGGGGTGGAAACACACGAAGGGTTTTCGGTGCTGCTGAGCAGAGCAGCGTCTCTCCCGCACGTTGCTGCAAAGGTGATGAGGCAAGTCCTCCTCCCCCAGGTTTCTGTCGACTCAAAGGGAGCTACGGCATGGCCACAGAGTCCAAGAAAATCAGAGCACTTATCCGTGGGGCAGCGTGCTGCCTGTCRGTCTGCCCCATGCTTGCTGTCCTACGAAAGGCACTGGTCACCGAGACGAGTCGCAATGTCCATGAGCACAGGTGGGGAACAAAAACCTGGCAGTCCCGTAACATAAATAGCTACTGATTTTCTGTCCTAAAACAGGTTCTCTTCTTGTTATTGTTTTTATCCACACGAGCACTTTCCTTGTTCTCCTTCCTCTTTGGGAGCGCCCTACTCTCATGTACAGTGTGTGYTTGACTAGACCTATCTACCAAAGACCTTTCCTCGTCAGACTTTTCCCGTGTATTTTGTGGATTTCCTATGTGTATGACCATGAACAGACATGGGTGTAACTGACATATTTTGTCGTATATGATGTTATTTAACTCTTAATATATTCTAAATAAATTATTTAAGAGATGAACCCTTGTCATCTCAATTTTTTCTCGTATTCATTCTATGTTGTGTGTAACACTTGGTAGGGGATGCAAGGAGCAATACAACACAGCTTTCAGTAAAGAATCATTCTGCTGTTCAGCACTCATGTAAGATTTTTAATCTTAGAAATAATTTAGAAACACTATCAGCTGATGACGAATGAAGGGAATATTTTATTAATAACAGCTTTTTACACTTTTGTTTGATTTGTTTTCCATATTAGGAAAATTTTGACCAGGTCTTGAAGAAAATGATAAATACTRTTTCATTGTGAAACACTGTTGTGTTTGTCTTGAATATATTTATGATTGAAAAGATTGAAGATTCTAATTCAAAAGATTGAAAAGATTCTAGTGAACTCATTTGGACTCATTTGCTTTGAGTCTGTCACTATCTGGAGAGGTTCAAACAGCAGCAGTCTGCATATTCTGACCGGCTCGGGATACTTGTGAGGGATGAGCTCCTTCCCCAGCTCTATTCAGGTGTTAACCACCAGTGACATTATCTGATAACAGCCCTGATGGCTGCACCCTGATGGGGAGATAAGGCTAATGATGCACACACCAGCCAAAAGTTCTCTGAAATGAAAGGAGCACTACAAGTCAATCATCTTATCCCATAAATATGGGGAAAGCCCAGGAGCCCCTTGAGCTCTCCTTGCACGGCAGCGGGCTGCATGTCAGGATCTTCCCTTTAGCAGGGACACCTCTCAAGGAGGCTCCTCAGAGTGAGGAGATGCTTTCCACAACGGATTTGTGGTAAGAGACTACGGCACGCTCGCTCTCTGAGATTGTAAACACTACTGATGTAACTGGGCACAAAATCCCTTAGTCATAAACCACTGACCAGGTGTGGGACTAGGATTGGATCCAGCTGCACTCACACTCCTCTCGGAAGGAGCTTGGAAAGCAAAAGGGGTCTAATCTGACCCTCGTGACTCAATGGGAGGGTGTCCTTGATAATTCTGTGTGTATCTTGAACCCCAAGGCAGCAAATAACAAACGACCTTGAATCTCATGAAACCATTGTCCATATCATTAAAACCTACTACTATTTCTTTCACACCAATGAAGTGCATGTGTCATTCAGCCCTCCTCAACTCTTTCCATGACAGCACTTCCTCATGTTACACCACAAGAAGAATTTGGAAGCGAGGTGATTTCTGTATAAAATGCATCTGGGAAACTAATTGCCTCAAGTGATTCTGTATCAAAATCATCAAAACAGCATGAGGCTCAAAATACATATCTGCATATGCAAGACAGTGCCACTTTAGAGAAGCCCCTCTGCATACAATTAATTCAGAGTTAGTTGTCATGTTCAGGACCACAGAGCTATGTTTTCCCTGGATGTGGGCACCACAGAAAACGTGGTAAGACCAGACTTAACATGGTGCTGTGTTGTGAGATGATGGGACCTGTGGCATGGAGACACACTGAATAATTCAAAACTGTCTAGAAATGTTTACCATATGGTGTAGCAATGAAACACACTATAAATTGCAAAAATAATCCTAATTTTAATGCCTTTTTTTTGTTTCACAGTAGTAACTAGCAATTCTAAATAGGATTATGTGAACAGAACTCTATCTTTTAATTTATTTTTTTATTTAACTTTTCCTGCAATGGAAGAGGACATGTCTGGCAACACTGCAGGGAAGATGAGCCAAGGTGATACCTTCTAGAAGCGTGCCTGGTATCTCCCGACACCAAAATCCGTGCTGCAAGGTTAAAAAAAGACGTGTCTCCCTCCAACCCACCGTAACTCTACCCTGCACAGAGGAAGTGCGACGTGACTCAGCCTGGCTGAAGCAGAAACCTTGGTGAGACATAAGGAGTAGGGTGACTTTACTGGAAGTCTCCAGCAGGATTACGAGAAGCACATATCTCCATATGCAGGTCAGATGAGGATTACTTTCTTTAGAAGATGGTGCTATCTGAGATGTGCTTGCTCTTTGCTATCACATAATGAGGGGAAGCTGATGCCAGGAGACGTACAACTTAGTCCTCCTGCAAAAGTAACCCATGCATCATGAGGAACAAGCCTGCTGGGGACAGAGGTACAAGATTCGTGACTCATTTAGCCGCCCCTCTGGCAGTATCTAGAAGTGTCCCGTGAATTTCTGAGCTGCTAGGGGATGAGATGCAGTGACCATGGTTAAAGCAGACCGACTGTGCACGGCAGATCTGACTTTTGTTCTTTGAAGGCTGGGCGATGAAAGGGGATGGAGAGAATGGGTGACTTAACTACTGACCTGTGGGGCAGAGGTCACTTGGGAGCAAAGCCTTAACTCTAAAGGCCATAGATAAAGTGACAGAGTCTAAATCCATCTGTTTTCAGGGATGTAACTGTATTTTTAAACTGGCAGATGCTGAGAGAATCAAAGGGGAGAAGGTGGGTGGAGGAAGCAACTCAAACATGTATTTAGGTTATACAAGGTAGAGATTGCCCTAGTGTGCCTGGTTCGATTTATTCAATGTTAATGTGTCACTAAGCTGGAGCAGAGTTTTCCTAGCGCTCTGGATTGGTACAGCTTTTATCCGGGAGGTGCAACTACCCTCACCCCATTATCTTCTCCCACCAAATCCCCCAGTATATATGAACAAATGCATATCCAATCCCTTCACGCTTTGTTTTGCCAGCACAGACTGCAAGCCAGGTAGATCAGGAGAATATATCGCTTTGCTAGATGCTTCCTCACGCAGCTGCATGGAAAGACAGATCCTTTCTTAGGAAGGTTAAAGCCTTAAGGAGAAAGTTGAGGATGACAGCCCACAGACAGCATTACTACAGTGAGACACTCTGCCGCTAGCCCTGGGTTCGTGCAACAATATCTGACACATAAAGACTTACACATAAATCCATCCAACTTCTACCCTATCCTCCTTAGACTGCCCATATGTCTATAAAACCCTACAGAGTTAGGCTTAGGGTTAGAGTTTAGGTTATGACCTCAAGACCCCAAGAAAGGCCTAATGTGCAGCCAGGATGACACTAGATACAAATCACGTCAGACTGGCTGTGCTCGGATATGTAGATGTACAACCGATCAAAATACAATTAACAGATTCCCCCTCCTCAGAGGATATAAGGTACTGTATAAAATTTAAGCTTAAAAAGAGTCTATTATTACAGAAAAGACCTGGAGACTTTAAGAGGAAAATTGCAGTGTGTGAAGCACTCAGTGTGGGGCCATTAGACCTAGATAGCAGGACATACTGAGCACAGAGGCTTAGGTGGAATTTAGGCCAGCTGGCTCTGATCCCAAGTATTTTACTGCCTGTAGAGAAAAAGGTGTTTCAGAACCAACTATAGGGCTCTGTGAATTGGCAGCTTCTGTAGTGCTCTCTGCGGCTATGAATGAAAAAGGAGGGTTTTAAGCTGGCAGCCCCTCTGGTCTGCTGCTGATTCACCGGGGCTCCCTCCAGCCTGGCAAGCTGGGCCTGCCAAGGCCCCTCGTCGGTGGCACCAGCCTGGGTGGGAAAAGCCCCTTGAACAGCAGCAGAATTAACCTGGTGCTGAGAGGAGCTGCTGGGTCTGGCTCTTCCTCCCGAGCTCGGCTGCAGACTTTCCCTCTGATCTCCAGG